AATATGCACTGTGTAACTTTTTGGTTGGGAGTCCGTCACCTGCTTGTTTCTATGGATATGTCATTGCTCTGCTTAGAATGTTCCACAGTATGACATTAAACAGCGCTGCCTTACATTAGTTCAATTACAAGTGGTTTTATTGCTCAAAAATAGCTAGATAAACAGGCATTCTGACTGTAAGTGGGGTTGCCTCTCCACAGATCTGACCTATAACTTGGTCTGGTTTGGGTTTCATGAAGAGAGAAAGGCTTAATACCATAGTATGAAAGACTCCAGGCAAAGCAATTTACCACACAATGCACCTTTAAGTAGATTTTTTTACTGTATACTTTGCTCCAGTAGCTGCACTTTTACTTAAGTTACAAAATTGAGTACTTCTTCCACCACTGTATGTTCATGGTGCCCTTTTCAGAATGAGAAAAAAAGAGTTGGAGAGAGAAGAGAAGAAGCAACTAAAGAAACAGGAAGGGGACGAAATACAACAACTTCATGAGCTCCATCTTTGGGAACAGAAGAGAGCAGAAGAACAACAAATAGAGGAGAGGATGCAGCTCATGCAGGTCCACCAGGTAGTGTCATGGCCAATTTTATCATCCCCCTTTAACTGTTACCTAGGAAAAAAGCAGCTTACACATTTCTTTACAGGAACAGCTGACCAACAGACAGCTGGAGAAAGTTATGAACGACCAAAAACAGCAAATGGAGGAGGAACAAAGGAAGCTGTACCTCTCAGCAAAAGAAAAAATGACCAAGTTAAGAAGAGACAAAGAGAAGGAAATAATAAGGTAAGATCAATTTTGAAGCCACCGTTCAATACTGACATTTTAAACACGAAGATACTATTAAATATTAACTAAAGTCTCAGTTACTTAGGTCTAAAAAATGCTTCTTTGTATTTGTATCTTTTAGACCACTTCTTTATTGTTAAGTATGCATATGAATAAGCATTATTTACCATTATTGGAGAGAAGATATTCGAACTTACCTACAGGAGCTTGAGTGAAATAATATTCTGGCTTTCTAGCTTACTTTATTACTCTCTTTTGTTTTATTGTCCTGTCAAGATTTTTTTTTTAAAAGAATGATTTTCCGCAACTAACCTGTAAATAGTATATTAAAATTTTTAAAATCAACTGTTTTAGAGAGACCCAGTTAAAACGAGATAGGATCTTGGAAAAACTCGTAGCCACCCAGCAAGAGAAAGCTGAAAACGAAGAGCTGAAAATTGCACGAGCTGTAGCTGAAAGGGAGACTCGAGAAGCACAACTGAAGCTGGAGGAAGATGAGAGGAAAGTGGCCATGATGGAGTCCATAGCGGAGCACAGAGAAGCGCTGGTAAAAAGTCAAAAACATTTACCTGCTACTTACACCTGTGGCTTAAAGCACAGTGTAACTTTTTGGTTGGGGGTCCGTCTCCTGCTTGTTTCTATGGATATGTCACTGCTCTGCCTGGAATGTTCCACAGTATGACATTAAACAGCTCTACTTTATATTTATTCAATTACAGGTGGTTTTATTGCTCAAAAAATACCTAGAAAAACAGGCATTCTGACTGTGAGCAGGGTTGCCTCTCAACAGATCTGACCTGTAACTTGATCTGGTTTGGTCTCCATGAAGATAAAAAGGTTTAATGTCATACTGTGAAACATTCCAGAGAAAGCCATAACATTTCCATGGAGAAAAGCATTTGACGGGCTCGCCACCAGAAACGTTACATAATGCACTTTTAATTTGTTTGTTAGAGGCAAGAAAAAGAGAGGATGAAAGAGGAGATGAAACAGAAAAACGAAGAAATGCTTCAGTCTAAAAAGGAGGCGGACAAAATATACGCAGAGCGACAGCAGCTCAAGGCTCAGAAGAGGAAAGAGGATCTGCAAAGTTTACAAGATTTTCGCAGAACACAAATGGTATGTTTATATATGTATCGTTTTTGATTCAGATTATATCGATGTGTCATATTTATACTGAATTGTCTTTATACTTTTAACACAGGCTGAAAAACACTCAAAGCAACAGCAGCAAATACAAGACACAGAGAGGTTTGAAGCTATGAATGCTCAAATACGGGCAGAGGAAGAGTTCAAATTTCAGTTGTATGCAAAGGATGTTATCAATACAGCGGGGGAGGCTAAACTTAATGTGGTGCCACTTTATAAGGCAGCAAGGGAGGGGATAGGAGGAGGATCTGGACCTGCTTTTAATGGAGTTAGACCCAGCTATGTGGTTCAAGACAGCAGTGGTGCACAAATGCCCAACTATGTCTCCGGTACTACTCAGAGTATTAAATCACTGAATGATGTTGAGCAGACAAAAAAGAGACTTGGGTTTACTTGGTGATCAATAAAATGTGTTGGCAATAAAAGTGTGCAGTCCTTAAACAGCTTATACTATGCAATTTTAAAATCTATGTTATAATGTTGGTTCCTCATCAAAAACATACCTAAATTTGTGTATTAATTTCATCCATGTTTAACACACAAACCTGCATATTTAGGCTGAGTTCTTCTCTCAAACAGAAAACACTCTGTTCCACCTTATGATGTCATGTGGTAATACAGAAAGTGCTCCATTGTGTTTTTATACTCCATAAACCTTCACTAGATTTGGATTTCAGCCCTGTAATAACCAGTCTCTACTGAACTACAGGTAAAAGGAGCTGTTCTCTTCAAAATTACCGCTTCTTGACATCACACTGAGCATTTTGAGCTTTGGAGATGAAGACAGACTTAATAAAGGGTTACTCAAACATGTGTGAATGAAACAAAACACTATCTTTTTGATGAGGTAACAACATTATAACATGACAAAAAGCTCACAAGAGTCAATTTTGCAGAAATCACAGAAATAACAAGCAGAAATCACGAAATGCAGTTTAAAGAAAATTCTTGGTGATCTGGTTAGACTGGATTTTCTTCTCATTTCTAGTCAAAGATTCAGTTTGCCCTCAGAGAACTCCAGGAGGCGGTGATATTAAGACTGTACATTTAGGTGGGGGCCTTTAAAAAAAGATAATAGCACATATGAAGCTTCCTCACAATTTGCAGTTTTTTCTCAAAGACCATTTTAAATGATTAATACAAGGTTTGTGTGGTGAGAACGGGCATCTGTTAGAATAAATGGTTAGAACCAAGGCGTCAGTTGTTTAAAAGCAGAGAATGTATTTTTTTTATTCCTTCTTTAGAGCCAGAAAGGCAATGTCCAATATTCTTGAACAAAACTACTTGTACAAATTGTCAAATAATTCCACAAGTAAACCCAGAATTGTCTTAATTACAAATGGGATTACAGTAAAAGGCCATGGATGTACAAAAAGTGGAGGGGTGACATGTTACCAAATCATAAAAAAAAATACACCGACCATGCATCAAAATATTTCTGTTATATGACATATGACAAAAATACAGGCACCCCCTCCCTCCAAATCCAACAGGATTTAAATGATAAAAGCACACAGTAGAAATAATTTAAAAAGCTCAACTGTTGGGTTTTTGTTTATACCCAAAATTCAATGTAACCCAAATAAAAACTGAAAACCGTCAAATTAAATCCTAAGACAATGAAAGCAGTACATTTAAGGGCATGTTAAACCCTTGAAAAAACACACGCTTGACTGTCATTATGAGAGTTCATTCTTTTGTTTTGGTCAGTATGAATGACGTTAACCACGTTTCATCAAGATGTCTACTTTAAACCAAAAAGTACATGTCTGGTCGAAATAGAGCTGCAACCTGACCTCGTTAACGGTGTAGTGAAGATGGGAAATGCCAGTATAAAAAAGTAATTTTGTTTTTAAATGAGTCCCTCTTAGTCACTGTCGGAACTTGAGCTAGAACTATGTCTATGTCTTCTACTGTTATTTCGATCTTTGCCTTTATTACTGTCTGGCCTTTGTCTTTCTGGACTCCTTTTTTCTTTGGATTTTCTATCACGACTGTTTCGGCTCCTTCTTTTATCCCTATCGCTATGTCTTCTTTTGCGGTTGCCAGATTCTTGTTCTTTATCCTTCCTATGCGTAGAGCGGTCTTTACTGGTCTCTCTTTTGTTACTCTTGCTTCGCGAGTGCCTGCTCCTGTGGGCGTCTCTGGTCTTAGTCCTGTCTGAGCTTCTCCCTCGATGATCTCTGCTTCTGGATGACTCTCTCCTCTTAGTTTCCCTTTCACTATCACGGCGACGGTCTCGACTTCGGCTGCGATTCCTGCCTCTGTCTCTCTCCTTATCCCGCCTGTCGTCTTTGTCTCTGGATTTGGCACAACTGTCCTTATTTCTATTACTGCTGCTAGATCTGTGGCCATCTTTTTTGTCCTTGCTACGTGATTTGGACCTATTTCTTTCCCCATTTGTTCCTTTAAAATCCTCTTTATGCTTTTTACTAGATTCATGTTTGCTTTTGTCTTTTCCATGGTCAGATTCTGAGTGTTTATCTTTCTTTGAGTCCTCTGGAGAGCCTCCTCCTGCTTGTTTTCAAGGAAATGCAGTTGTGCACATAGGTTTACATACCCTGGCAGAATTTATCATTTCTTAGTCATTTTTCAGAAAATATGAAGGAAAACACAAAAACTTTTCTTTCACTCATGGTTAATGCTTGGGTGAAGCCATTTATTATCAAATAACTGTGTTTACTCTTTTAAAATCATAATCATATCACAGCAGAAACTACATCAATGACCCTGATCAAAAGTTTACATATCCTTGAGATTTTGGCCTGATAACATGTACACAAGTTGACACAAATAAACTTATGAGCACAACTGTATTGTTCCTTTGGCTATAATATTACATATTGCAGTATGCCATAAAACATATCTCCACAGAGAATGTTTTGATTTTCTATTTTCATGAAGTCATGTTTGTGACTTTCCACCCCCAGAAAGTTACATGCTATCACTTTAAATAGGGTGACCATATTTCCTGTTCAAATTTCCCTGCTGTAATGCTGCCGTCCCTTTAAGAGGACGTCATTACTGCCTCTCCTTCGCATGCGCACTGCAGCGCAGGTAGCCAGTACGCAGAGGAAGCGCCAAGGAGAAAGGCACACGTTCGTCTTTCTCCTGCTAATGTTCACGTTCCTGCGTAAATGAGTATTGTGTTATGTATTGTTCTATACAGTTTGGTGTATAATTTTATCTCATTTCAAATATTTTCGCTCCGCACCTCACGGAGGTAAACGCGGCAACTACCCGATCGCGTTTTCTCTCTTAAATCCATGATTAGTCCTGGTTTAGTCCTGACTCACACGTGTGTAATTACTACCCGTTCATACGGGTAGTAATCCCCAAGGTGTCCGGGTTTTTACAAACGGAAATATGGTCACCCTAAAGTTACCACACAACAAATGCGGTCTTTATTCAGTGTTGTGGGCAACTAGAGTTTGACATACAATATTTATTGTCTCTTTTCTTCTTGTTATATGTTTTTCTTCACACAATGATGCGGGAATGTGAGGGTCGAAAAAGATCTGATACAAAAGGTCATGTTTGTTAACATAACCTTAAACAGAATTTGGTTTTATAGAAAAAGAAGATGGCAGAGGCACTCTGATTTGCGGTGAATTTATTCAAAGTCACGCCAACGCGTTTCGACTACTTGGTCTTCTTCAGGGCTAATTGAATCAACAGCAGGTGTGACCATTTATAAAGGGTTGCGAACCCAAAACACATGATACTTAAATAAAAAAACAAAAAATTATAATAATAAAAAAAATATGTTTTAAACTTTTCAAAACTTTTACATGTTGAATCCAAGTATATTGACAACATACCATTCATACCAACAGGAAAATCACACTGTTCTGTAAAGATTGGAGTATAGTCAACGATACATAATCCCTCAAGTTGCATAGTGCACTTCAAAAATGTTTTCAATGAATCATGAAGAAAACAGTGATTACAAGACAATAGTAATAGAAATACCCGGGTATTTGAATTTGGTTTTATTTGATTTATATCTTAACATTAAAATGCGATCCACTGCAATAGTTGAAGAAAATGTGGATGCCCGAGAAAGTTTAATAAAGTAACGTCGCTTGCTCCTGATAATAAGTAGTCTGTTAGCTAACGTTAGCTGTCGGCGACTCAATTATGGTTGGACTATTACATGTTCAGAAAAAAACTTATTTCTACTGTCAAATGATGTGAAAGAAAGTGTTTTTGTTAAAATACAGAAGACACTTTCTCTGCACATGCACAACTTAACACATCGAATTAACATTAAATTAAATTAGTACTCACTTATCTGTCCACATGCCATGTCCAAAAGCCATTTTATTTTTCACCAGTGTCTTCAGATGAGAGAGACAGCACAATGATCCCGTTACCAGATCTACGTCAAGTCACAGTCTTACCCAAATCTGAATTAATGAGGATACAAACTCTGTCAAAAAATGTTGACAGAGAACAAGAGCGCAGAATACAAGAGGCAAAGAGAAGAGAAGCCATGCATCTTCACTCAAAAGAGGTGGTCAAGCTTTGGTCCAACACTATAGCAGTGAGTATTTCAAACACAGTTTATATCAGATCATTTAATCTTAATTTAAATGGTGCTGTCATTTATGTTTACTAAAGGGGCAAAGGCAGAAGAACCTGGAGGCAAAGGCAATTCGGCAGCAGATTGAGGAGGAGAAAAGAAAGGAACTTGACATAGAAGAAATCAACTACAAGGAGCAGAAGAGAAAGGAGGCTGTAAATGGCAGACAAAATATACTTAATTATTCGTTTGTTTAATTTGTCTGCAAATGTAATTTAACGTTAACCAATGTGATCTTGTTGCTTTAGTTTTGTTTATGTTTTATTTTGGAAAGCATTTGGCCTGCCGTCATAGGATACACCTTTATTTTGAAGGCACACCACGTTTTCCGGTGTGCGTAGCTGTAGAGACTTACCGCTGCGCTCTCCCAGTCCTCTCCGTGATTAAATGTCCTCTTACATCGACGGAGAGATGTTGGCTGTGTCCCAATTCGAGGGCTGCAGCCTCCGAAGGCTGGTTTTAAGGCCGCATACGTCACTTCCGGTGAAAGAAGGCCTGTCCCATTTCATTTTTATGTCATGCAGCCTTCAAATGCAGCCCTAAAACCGGCCTCGTTTCCATGGAGATGGGGCTGCGAACGGAAGACACATCCGAGTATCCTTCGCAGCCTTCAGTATCCCAGCATGCACCGCGCGGCGGCAGTCAGATGTTCGAAAACACGGAGCAAAAAGCCGGTCCCGAGAGCGGAGAAAAACATGTGAGTAACACTTTTAACTTTAGGAAATCATTACTAACACAACTGTAAACGTAAAATACGACCATAATTCCCACAAAACTGTCAAATAAGTTTGTTTTTAACTGCGTGAACCGCGGAGTTTTGAGCTAAAGTTTGCCTAGTAATGTGCAGCTAATGCGATGAAAAGTCCGCTCAAACTTTCATATTTGGACACATTTCCATCAAACACTCATCATGTTTTTACTGTTAGGGGAAAAGAAGCCCACAGAGTGATTTAAAGAAGCTACGAGGAGAAAACTCCACGCTTTCACGGACAGTGTAAACATGTAAACAGTTGGTCAGTGTAGCTCGGAGTTAAGATGAAAACACGCATTATTTCATACATTCAACTGAAAAAAGACTCAGTCTGACTCTATCAAAGCTCATATTTACTTGTAAATCACATAATATAAGCCTCCAACGTGTGCATTTCATTCAGGGAATACATTATCTGCTTTTAACAATCCGTGCATGTTTGTAAAGTGAAGAGTAAATAATCCTGCCTGGACAGGTCAGATTTATGATGGACATGAGGCTCATTTAACAGATTTGTGCAGACACTGGTGTAGATACGACCTGACTGTGTCTGTTCGGTCTGTCACATCTAATGTTATAACAATGAGAAATCTGTTTTACATTACGAATTTTCTTTTCTCATCTGCAGCCTCCAGTATAGATAAATAATAATAAATGTAAATAGTGCGGAGGGAGTCCAGGTGTTCTTTGGGCCTGCATGCTCTGTCAAACTTATTTTACTCTAATAGTTTTGTAGTTTTCTTAATGTGTGTGTCATTACAGGTTTTCACTCTACAGGACAGAACTTTGAATCAATCAGACGCAAGAAGACGAGAGATACATCAGACTGAGTGGTCCAAGTCCACTGTCCATGTCTCCACTGTCCATGTCTCCACTGTCCATGTCTCCACTGTCCATGTCTCCACTGTCCATGTCTCCAATGTCCATGTCTCCAATGTCCATGTCCAGAGTCTCATATGATCTGAACAGACAGAAATGAAAACATCTGCTCATAAGTTTTTCTGAATGTTTTTCAGTCTGTACTGACATTTGATTTATGGTGAAATGTGCCATTTATTTGGTGTCTCTTTTGATAGTAACTAATTACATGTACTATAAGAATGTACTATTGTACTGCAGATAAGCTGTGGTATTCCACATGATCATATCTGGCTAAAAGATAATTTGTTCATTTTTGATTGTCACATGGTTCAGCAAAAAGGGAACACAATGAGATTTACTGACATACAGCTGTTTGTACTAACTTGTTAATGCAGAGTGTGTGTAATGGGTTTAATATTTTACTTCATATTATGATAAAGTATTTCCAGAAGTTCCTTGGATTGTTTAATAAATCATCTTTTCTCAGGAGAGATGTCTTTCTTTCTTTACAAACTGACTGTATAAATGTAATCCCTGGTCAATATAAAAATCCTTAATAATGATAATATTTAGTAATGCATATCTCATTACAGTTTTTTTTTATTTTAAGATAATTTAGTCTATTTAAAATGTATCCCTTAAATATAGCCGTTTTGTTTTGCAAAAGTTAAACATACAAACATATTTTCGGTTTTGGCCATAAGATTTGGATGCGAATTATTAAAATAATTTGGTCACAAAATCCGACAGTTTGATGACCTGTGCGTATTCTTTTTACTGATCCGTGTGCGTAATCTGCGCGGAGCGTGTTAGCATTAGCGCTAGCAGCGTCCCTCGGTTGCTAGGCGACAGGGGAGCGGCTCCGAGGTCTAGACCTGTCCCATTTCCGCAACCCCCTGGCGGTCCGCGGAGGCCAGTTCAAGGGCTGCAGCCTTCGCGGCCGACGAAGGACCCAGCCTTCACAGCCTTCGGAGGCTGCAGCCCTTTGAATTGGGACACAGCCGTTGTCCTGGTGAAGCCCATGTCAGGTGTGCTAGCGGAGATGATGGTTGTCCTAAGACGTTCAGTTAGCGCCCTTGGAAGGCGAAATGAGGTACTGCGGGTTCTAAAATTTATACTGTATTTTATTTATGAAAGAATTGTGACACTAAAGTTATATTTTGTATTCTGTTTGCTCTGTAGTTTTCACAGTGCTCATGAAACCCATGATGTTCATGGAGTGAATTTTGAAGCTACACTGTAAAAAATGTCTGTGAAAATTACAGAGAATAACTGTGAAATGGCAACAGTAATAAACCATAAAATGTAAAATTGTTTATTACTGTAGTTTAAACATTAAATTACCTTAAATCAAGAAACTGCCAAAAACTGTATTTTTAACTGTTTTAGCATGTGAAATACTGGGTGAAAAACTGTGAAATTGCAACAGTATCAGACTGTAAAATTAAAAATAGTATATTACTGTATTATACACAGTATACACATTAAATTACTTTAAAACAAAAAACAGACCAAAACTTAATTTTTTACATTTGTAACGTGGAAATTGTGGTGGAAAACTGTGAAATGCCAACAGTAATAGACTGATAAAAGGCAAAATAGTATATTACTGTTGAATAAACATTAAATTACCATAAATCAAGAAACTGCCTATAGCTTTTTTTTTTTTTTTTTACTGTTGTAAAATGTGGAATTTGTGGTAGATAATTGTGAGAAATTGCCATAGTAATAGCCTTTTACCCTCTGTGCTAACTCATATTAATTCATGAAATGGACTAGAAACTTACTTTTTACCATTATATAACATCAGTGCATCACAAAATGACCATTAAATAACCATAAAGGCTTCCACAGACAGTGTATGGTGCAAAACAGACCACAGGCCACTGTGGTTCATCATCATCAAGGAGACATATTAAACAGGACAATCGTTTGGAAGATTTTCGACCAAGGATGTTCTATTTCGACTTGGAAAAGGAAAAGATAGAATCAACATGGTGAACAGGAACATGCTTTGAGAGATGATCTCAAAGACACTCGCACTTCGAATTTGTGAAGAGAACAGACAGCTCGTTGTTTGGAAGGTAACATCTGATTGCATTTTATCAGTATATATAGTATTCCTCTTCACTATTCCTTTATCTGTTGTTTCAATTTTTCCAGGTTAATATTAGGCTGCTTATCGTGTGGAATTATATTAGACACAAGAAAGCCCCACCTGTCCACCGTGCCTCTTATTCTAGTTAAAAATGCATTTATTTTTATTATTTCCTGGTTGTATTTTAGGTTTATAATTTATATGTGAATTTAATAATTTTGATATTTTATTGAGAAAACCAGAGGTGCGAGCTGCTCCCGTGTTTTATTTTGGTAGTTCTACTTCCCCTCTCAGTAGACCATTGAAGACGGCAGAGGGTGAGTTCTGTCTGGGTTGAAAAGAATATATTTCACAAAAACAACGTACTTTTAGCATAAATACAAAAGCACATGTTGATAACACAGCATTTTCACATGCAGTGGATGTATTGTGGTGTGCTAATTTTGAGATTTGTACATTTTATTTGTACTGTAAAATTTTCAAGTTAGCTTAAAATATTGTACTGAATGCGGCCAAAATGAGCAGCTATCTCACGGTGCGGTTCTCACGGTGCGGTTCTCACGGAGCGGTTCTCACGGTGCTGTTCTCACGGAGCGGTTCTCACGGTGCGGTTCTCACGGTGCTGTTCTCACGGTGCTGTTCTGTTACAAGAAGCCAGTGCCTGATATGTGTGAAGACATATTAATAGTGTTTATTTACGCTATTTTATTTATGTAAAAGTTGTAAAATGTGCATTTGTCTCTCCAAATAATTACTCCACTGCAATCAATGTAAATTTAAAATTGTTTTATTGTTCATGCATGATTTATATAATTGAGTCACATGAGTTGTAACCCCTGTGTAAAATATGGTAATAATACGGCCAGTATGCGATTTTTTTACTTTCCTGCCCTCCCAGGAAGACATAGTCACGTTCCCACGGTTTTGAACCTATCAGGTGGCTGATTGGCTGATAGCTCAAGTTATTTTTCAAACTTAGGTCTTCCCACATGCACTTTTAGAGGCAATCTGAGAAAGTGCCTGTGTCTCCTTTTCTCCAAAATTTAAGTGTAAATTAATTTGTGTAAATTAAGTTAAAGTTTAATACAACTGGCACAGTTACCGCATCACAGTGCATTCAATCAATCAGATTTGTGTTTTAGCCTTAGTAACAGTAAATTTAGCTTGAAATGTTGTGGTGTAACTTCTGTGGAAAGTCAGTGAAAACACTGAGAGGTTATGTTCTTCATTGCAAACTTCATAGGAATGAACCACATTGTTTGTTTAAGTGTTATGGCTCTGGTTGTAGTAAGACATTTTTCAGATATGGAGCATTTAAAGCACATTTTTATCGCAGACATAACATACCCGAAATGGTTAATGTTGGTGCTGTTGTTAGTACTTACAGGTGCCCAGTTGCCTTGTGTGAACACCATTGCCAAGAGATCAAGAACCTGTTGGCACACCAGAAGGAACATATTGCTGAAGGACGTGAGGTATGTTGTCCAGTTACTGGATGCACAAGTTTTTTCAATATTAAGTCTTCATTTACATCTCACATTTCACGGAAACATCAAGATCTTACCGACAGCAGCATTAGTGACATGTATAGAGACTTTGCACCATCATTAGTTGTAGCCGCTTCTACTGAGTCAACTGAATTTTGCTCTCAAATGAATGAAGTAGTTACAGAGACTGGCACAGAGGAAGGGGACATATTAGAACATTTTAGTGATCTTTATCTCAGAAATGTCAGTTTGTTTACTTGAAATTGCAGGGAAGGTTTCTGCTTCCTGCTTCGACCATTCAGAATATTATTGAGGAGATGCAAGACATTCATGAATTAGGTCAGGCATATACTTTGAGCAGGCCATCCATCCATCCATTTTCGTCCGCTTATCCGGGGCCGGGTCGCAGGGGCAGCAGCAGGGACTCCCAGACTTCCTTCACCCCAGACACGTCCTCCAGCTCCTCCGGGGGAACCCCGAGGCGTTCCCATGCCAGCCGAGAGACATAGTCCCTCCAGCGTGTCCTGGGTCTTCCCCGGGGCCTCCTCCCGGTGGGACTCCCTCCCGAGGGAGGCGCCCAGGAGGCATCCGAAACAGATGCCCGAGCCACCTCAACTGGCTCCTCTCGACGTGGAGGAGCAGCGGCTCTACTCCGAGCTCCTCCCGTGTGACTGAGCTCCTCACCCTATCTCTAAGGGAGCGCCCAGCCACCCTGCGGAGGAAACTCATTTCGAGCGCTTGTATCCGCGATCTCGTCCTTTCGGTCATTACCCAGAGCTCATGACCATAGGTGAGAGTAGGAACGAAGACTGACCGGTAAATTGAGAGCTTCGCCTTTCGGCTCAGCTCCCTCTTCACCACAACGGTCCGATACAGCGACCGCATCACTGCCGAAGCTGCACCAATCCGCCTGTCAATCTCACGTTCCGTCCTCCCCTCACTCGTGAACAAGACCCCGAGATACTTGAACTCCTCCACTTGAGGCAGAGACTCTCCACCCACCCGGAGAGGGCAAGCCACCTTTTTCCGGTCGAGAACCATGGCCTCGGACTTGGAAGAGCTGATCTTCATCCCAGCCGCTTCACACTCGGCTGCAAACCGCCCCCAGTGCACATTGCAGGTCCTGGTTCGATGGAGCCAACAGAACAACATCATCTGCAAACAGCAGAGATGAAATTCTGTGGTCCCCAAACCGGACCCCCTCCGGCCCCTGGCTGCGCCTAGAAATTCTGTCCATAAATATAATGAACAGAACCGGTGACAAAGAGCAGCCCTGGCGGAGTCCAACATGCACCAGAAACAGGTCTGACTTACTGCCAGCAATGCGAACACAGCTCCTGCTCCGGTCATACAGGGACCGGACAGCCCTTAGCAAAGGGCCCCGGACCCCATACTCCCAGAGCACCCCCCACAGGACACCACGAGGGACACGGTCGAATGCCTTCTCCAGATCCACAAAACACATGTGGACTGGTTGGGCAAACTCCCATGAACCCTCGAGCACCCTATGGAGAGTGTAGAGCTGGTCCAGTGTTCCACGACCAGGACGAAAACCACACTGCTCCTCCTGAATCCGAGGTTCGAGGTTTAGACCTAGTTTAGACCTGTTGTAGTCTTGTTTTAGTCCTGGTTTAGACCTGGTTTAGTTCTGGTTTAGCTCTAGTTTAGATCTGGTTTAGTTTCTGGCCATGAGTGGAATTACTGAAAAAAAAATGGTATAGCCCAGAATGTGAAAACAGGAAAATACCGGCGTGTAATCCATTTATTTCAACAAAATAAAAATAAAGACTTACTTACAACAAAGTAACTGTAATCCAATTACCACTCACTGAAACAGTAATTGTAACTGAATACAGTTACTCATAATTTGTACTCTGATTACGTAACTCCAGTACATGTAATCTGTTACTCCCCAACACTGATGATAAAGCAGACTGACGCTGAATTGTAGCCAACAGTCCGAGCAGAAGTCAAATGTGGTTTGGTGCAGTTTGGGCGTGTTCAGGTGCCAAGCCCCTCCCTTCACCGGTAAAAACATACAAGTGTGAGCCGTCTCCACTCAGAGCCATTAGTACAGCAAATACTAGTTTAAAATAGTCTACAATTCACACTTTGTTTAGTAATGGTCCCGCCTTTTGCAAAATATTAAAAAGATTAGTAATATTAGCTTGGCTTAATATGTAAAAGAAAATTGGGGTTTACAGTGTAGAGATTTGAAAAATAACAATGAATCCCTCTCCCCCATCGCCATAGTGACATGAACTTTGAAGTGTCATAAAGGTCAAAGTGAACCGAACCAGTTCATTTGTATACAGGACAGCAAAGAAGACAGTCACACATTATAGCAGAGAGACAAAACTTACAACGCACAACTTTTATTCAGGACACAGCTCCACAAACACGTTCAGGTAAGTTTCTACTTCATTTCATGTGTTCTGACCAAAGGAAATTGACGTTTTGGTAGGTTGGAGGTTTGTGGGAGGGTTTTTTGTGGCGAACAGTAACTATTTGTCTCAAACATGAACTTATTCTAATACATTTCTTAACACGTGATTGTTTAGTGCTTTTTGAAAGGTTAAACGAGTTCATTTGTGTTCACCGTTAAGTGTTAGACCAGTGCTACAAACACCAAACTCTTTCAGTGTAGCAACTGCTCAGTGAAAGTGGTACTGTCTGTCGTATTTATGTAGAACACAGAGATTTGAAAAATAACATTGAATCCCTCTCCCCCATCGCCATAGTGACATAATTAATCATTATAGAACTTTGAAGTGTCATAAAGGTCAAAGTGAACCGAACCAGTTCATTTGTATACAGGACAGCAAAGAAGACAGTCACACATTATAGCAGAGAGACAAAACTTACGACGCACAACTTTTATTCAGGACACAGCTCCACAAACACGTTCAGGTAAGTTTCTACTTCATTTCATGTGTTCTGACCAAAGGGAATTGACGTCTTGGTAGGTTGGAGGTTTGTGGGAGGTTTTTTTGTGGCGAACAGTAACTATTTGTCTCAAACATGAACTTATTCTAATACATTTCTTAACACATGATTGTTTAGTGCTTTTTGAAAAGTAAAACGAGTTCATTTGTGTTCACCGTTAAGTGTTAGACCAGTGCTACAAACACCAAACTCTTTCAGTGTAGCAACTGCTCAGTGAAAGTGGGTACAGTAGCCCAAAACTTGAACTACTACTTAAGAACAAGTAGCAGTACTTAAAAATAATATTACTTAAGAACAGTGTTGGGAGTAACGCGTTATAAAAGTAACGAATTACAGTAATGTATTACTTTTTGCTGTAACGCAGTAATGTAAGGCATTACAGGGGAAAAAATAGTAATATTTTACTCGGTACAAATGTGAGTAACGTGAGTTACAATGTTTTTTTTTACCTGGATTGAAGTGGTGGGTTTTTCTTCATACAAATTCGCTAAAATCACCCCGATAACAGCAGCGGTGAAACGCCGGAGATGCGCCCTCATAGACCTTCAGGTAACCGCGGGCGAAAGGACTGACAAAGAACTCCACGCTGTTTAGACCTGGTTTAGACCTGGGTCACTTCTGGTTTAGACCTGGTTTACACTCGTCCCTCCCTCTATCGCAGTTCACTTTTCGCGGTCTCGCTGTTTCGCAGATTATATACAGTAGAAAATTATACACTACACAGACTGTAGAGAAATTTAGTACCTCTTGTGGGATGGTGCTCAGATGAACTAGATACAAGTGATGGACAATAATGTATTTTTATAGACTAATTTTTAACCATGTGTTTTTGTTCTTTCTATTGCTATAGCCACCTCCCATCATGTCTAGGAAAGTGATAACAAAACCTATGAAGTCAACTCTATTGCCTTCAGATTCTCAAAACTCCAACTTGAGGAAAACTTCAAAAACTCTCAAGCAACAGCCCAAAGAAACAGTGCAGTTTAAGGAGGAACAAAAGGTTTTAACCTTATTGGAAAACTGCTTCAGTCAAGTGGAAGTGGCATTGACTTTGCAGCCGGACCACGTAGCTGACATCAAGGACATTTCACTGTGTAGGGCACTTCAAAGACATCAGTCATTATGTGAGAGATTAGAGAGAACAGAGGAGCAAAGCGGTATAGTGGGAAAAGACGGTAATGATGCACTATTTAAAAGTGAAGTCAAAAGGTCCTACAAAAATGTGATGAGGGGTTTTCGAAATGCTGCTGCTGATTTTGCTCAAATAAAACAAGGATTAGATACAGAAATGGGAAAAACGGAGCAGGTGTTCTACAAAAATCTCCAAACAATAATTCACTGTACACTTGAAGAAGCCAAAGAAGAAGAACCCATGTTAAAGATCACTCCTTTGCAAGATCGTAAAAGCGAGGTAGCACTAGATGAGAAAATAGCAAATTTGACCAAACTGATGAGCAGAATTGATGAAAACGTAAAACATTTTCTAAGCGTTCTTACATAGGTTTCAGAATGTATTACTATTAACTAACTTTAATTACGTCTTTGCTTTTCAGATAGAGGATTGTAAAGCCAGTATGGATAATTTGAAAATACCACAAGAATCTGAGACACCTCTCACAGATCTCACAGAATACCAGTCATACGTGAGCACACCAGAGCAGCAAAGACTTCAGCAAGAACTGGACCAACTCAATGCCCAGCTCAATAAGCTGTTTTTGGAGGACAGAATGAAAGAGAGAGACATTCAGGAGGTAATTAAAGGTGGACTTTGTAACTTTTTTGATGGAGGGGGTCTGTCACCTTATAGATTTTATTGCTTTGCTTAAAATGTTCACTGTATGGCAATAAATGCAGCTTTCATTAAATTTGAGATTTTTATTGCTAACAATATCTTGAAAAACATGCATTCTTAAAGTGTTTGTGTCTCCATGTACCCAAGCAGGTGGCAGATAGTCCATCAGTAAGGTTACCTGATAATGCCCCTTTAAGAGTAATCTGTTTTAACACATGTTTATTCTTCAGGGAACTGATGTGCTGGAAGCAAAAATTGAATATGTCACTGAGGAATTTGATGAGAAAATGGAAGAGATTCAGGTAAATTAATTTATATTTTATTGAGAAATCCTGATATATTACAAATTTAATACATGTTGTTACTCAGAGTGCCCAGCATTTTAAAATTATAAACTGGGATATTATGTAGATCTGTAGACCGTTAGTTGTTTAGTCAATTAACTGGTCGAGACTGTCTAGCTGAAGATTTAGTATTTGGCATTTAAATTGCATGGATTAAACTCATGATTCACAAGTTTCATTTAAATGTTTCCTAGTACTTTTTTCAGTGAGTTGTTTTTACATGAACCTCTTGTGAGAATGCAGTTAGAATCAGATACAGAGGCCTCTTTTTGGTCAACTAATCGATCGGCAGGACATGTCTTTAGTCCACCAAGAATTTCTTTAGTGGTCTACCTCCCTAAAAAATCTATGATGGTATTTCAGGCTGATCTGGAGGCGAGAGAGGCTGAGCTGCATAAGAATGAGGAGGAGCTGAGCAGCCTGGCGGTACTGTACAATACTCTGGAGGTAGAGTATGATGAGGTGGTGGCCAAACGGCTGCTGGCAGAGGAGAGGATGAGAGAGGAGCAAAGGAGCAAAGAGCTCAAAACTAAAGCTGCCATCATCATCCAGGCCTGGTGGAGAGGGCAGTGTGTCCGCAAAGTGATGAAAAACAAGGCCAAGAAGAAGGGTAAAAAGGGAAAAGGCAGGAAGAAATGAAAGTGTACTGTAGGATTCTGCCAAAATGTTATTTCAGTATACCCATGTTTTTTTATTGTAATGGAAATGTTTGTTAGTAAAGATAAAATTTAACTTTTCACCCAAAGTGAGAATATACTGTAGTTTCTCTTGCATGCATTCTACAGTCATAAGTGATGAGGTGTCAAAAATATTAATTGGTTGTTGGAAGAAATTGGTCATAAACATAAGGGAGGTCCACACTTGTAAGCAAGAATTAAAATTAAAACATTCATCATTTGCCATGGACTACAAATCTTGTTCTTAACTACTGTTGCCCTCTTTTGGGATTATGGATAACATAAGTCAAAATAAGTCTATTAAGCAGAGAAAAAACTAACAAAAACAATATTTTTACTTAATTTATTTAACAAAAGGAGTATCACAAGAATATACACATTGAAATTACTTCTTTGTGGTTTCCTCCTCTTTTGACAAGTTCTTGGATCATTTCTTCTTTCTTGGCCTGAAGACGTTCTGCTCTACGTTTGCGAGCTTCTTTAGTCTTAGTACGTCGAGCCTCTGCCATGCAGATTTATACTTACATGACTGCAAAACAAGAAAAAAAAAATCACACATTTACTCACTTGCTTTCTTACTACCACCACCAGAAAAAAGTTACATTGTACTTTTAAGTTAGGTTGTAAAACATGTAAAACAAGTAAATGAATGGCATTTCTGGTCTGGTGGAACCACATCTTGCATTGCATTTTTGTTCAATCTTAAATATACTAGTGTAATTACTAAGTGTAATTTTCAGTGTGTCATCATATAGCAGTTAATATTTAGGAATACTTACATTATTTGCACAGTGTGTTTCTGTGAAAATATGAATTCATTTGTTTCGGTTGAACAAAATTAAGCACAAATCTTTATCAAAATCATTACATTTGAAAAATACTTTACTTTGAATATATTTTTTAAACAAGTACTTTAATATATTTACTTAAATATGCACTGTGTAACTTTTTGGTTGGGAGTCCGTCTCCTGCTTGTTTCTATGGATATGTCACTGCTCTGCCTGGAATGTTCCACAGTATGACCTTAAATAGCTCTATTTTATATTTATTCAATTACAGGTGGTTTTATTGCTCAAAAAATACCTAGAAAAACAGGCATTCTGACTGTGAGCAGGGTTGCCTCTCCACAGATCTGACCTGTAACTTGATCTGGTTTGGTCTCCATGAAGATAAAAAGGTTTAATGTCATACTGTGAAACATTCCAGACAAACTAATAACATTTCCATGGAGAAAAGCATTTGACGGGCTCGCCACCAGAAACGTTACATAATGCACTTTTAATTTGTTTGTTAGAGGCAAGAAAAAGAGAGGATGAAAGAGGAGATGAAACAGAAAAACGAAGAAATGCTTCAGTCTAAAAAGGAGGCGGACAAAATATACGCAGAGCGACAGCAGCTCAAGGCTCAGAAGAGGAAAGAGGATCTGCAAAGTTTACAAGATTTTCACAGAACACAAATGGTATGTTTATATATGTATCGTTTTTGATTCAGATTATATCGATGTGTCATATTTACACTGAATTGTCTTTATACTTTTAACACAGGCTGAAAAACACTCAAAGCAACAGCAGCACATGCAAGACACAGAGAGGTTTGAAAGCTACACTGTAAAAAATGTCTGTGAAAATTACAGAGAATAACTGTGAAATGGCAACAGTAATAAACCATAAAATGTAAAATTGTTTATTACTGTAGTTTAAACATTAAATTACCTTAAATCAAGAAACTGCCGAAAACTGTATTTTTAACTGTTTTAGCATGTGAAATACTGGGTGAAAAACTGTGAAATTGCAACAGTATCAGACTGTAAAATTAAAAATAGTATATTACTGTATTATACACAGTATACACATTAAATTACCTTTAAAACAAAAAACAGACCAAAACTTAATTTTTTACATTTGTAACATGTGGAAATTGTGGTGGAAAACTGTGAAATGCCAACAGTAATAGACTGATAAAAGGCAAAATAGTATATTACTGTTGAATAAACATTAAATTACCATAAATCAAGAAACTGCCTATAGCTTTTTTTTTTTTTTTTTTACTGTTGTAAAATGTGGAATTTGTGGTAGATAATTGTGAGAAATTGCCATAGTAATAGCCTTTTACCCTCTGTGCTAACTCATATTAATTCATGAAATGGACTAGAAACTTACTTTTTACCATTATATAACATCAGTGCATCACAAAATGACCATTAAATAACCATAAAGGCTTCCACAGACAGTGTATGGTGCAAAACAGACCACAGGCCACTGTGGTTCATCATCATCAAGGAGACATATTAAACAGGACAATCGTTTGGAAGATTTTCGACCAAGGATGTTCTATTTCGACTTGGAAAAGGAAAAGATAGAATCAACATGGTGAACAGGAACATGCTTTGAGAGATGATCTCAAAGACACTCGCACTTCGAATTTGTGAAGAGAACAGACAGCTCGTTGTTTGGAAGGTAACATCTGATTGCATTTTATCAGTATATATAGTATTCCTCTTCACTATTCCTTTATCTGTTGTTTCAATTTTTCCAGGTTAATATTAGGCTGCTTATCGTGTGGAATTATATTAGACACAAGAAAGCCCCACCTGTCCACCGTGCCTCTTATTCTAGTTAAAAATGCATTTATTTTTATTATTTCCTGGTTGTATTTTAGGTTTCATTATAATTTAATATGTGAATTTTATANAGAAATTGTCCTCCACAAATAATGACATCCAGTTCACAAAACAGCGCTGTGAATTCAGTTTGAGGTGTTCTTTAAAAGTTAAAAGGCAAGAGTAGTTCCTCACGTGTCTGTTTACATCCACACAGCGCGCGGATCGAGGTGAAGCTGCAGATTAGCGATAGTAACTCTATGTCCTGTGTACTTTATCACCAAACTTTTATGTTTTAAAAATCACATCTCGGAAGCATGGCATCACATTTCACAAATAATAACACAGTTTTGACTTGTATCTAAACTCGAAGTGCGGCGCTCTCATCTTTGAACACCTAAGAGTATTAAAGCGAATGGTTTTACCGTAGACAGGAAACAGCTGACATGATCGCACTCACAATTTTATAGCCTGTGGTCCTCAGACATATCCCACAGCAGCCATTAAGTCTCATAAGATTCTCCTTCTGTCTGTGGTGTGCGCTTTTTTTTGTCGCACATTTAAAAATCGTTTAAGAAAGAAAAATCCTGTAGTGTGTGGAGGCCTTAAGCTGTTTTTAATTTTACATTTGAGTCAGACCCGAGCCCTAATCTAAATATTTTGTCCAAGTTCGACCGAGCCCGTCGGACTTTGGTCAGGTTTCCAAGCTCTAATGTATTTACTCCATTATGGGTTTTACAGCTCAAAAACACCTTTAAAAATATGCATTCCTACTGTGAGTGGAATTGCCTCTACACAGATCTTACCTGTAAATTGGTCTGGTGGCATTTCCTTCTATGGAGACTGAAAAGTTTAATACCATACTTTGGAACATTGGAGGGAAAGCAATAACATCTCCATGGAGACAAGTAACTGTCAGGCCATCTGCCAGAAAAAGGTTACACAGTGCATCTTTAAATTCTAATTTGATAAATTTAACATGGTCTAATGAATAACATTATTGGTACAAAAATCATGCTACAACAAGGCTATATTTTTTTCAATTACCTAATGCGTGTAACTAAATAAAACATCTGTAATTATCTTTGTTCAACCCTCCTCTCCACCATTCAAAGTTTTTAATTAGGAAAGTAAAAAGGGTGAAAAAAAGGAGCTGAGTTGTGCTGATACAGACCTTGATTAAATTCGTACTCAATAAAAACTACAGCTTGTAAAATGTTAATGAACTAAGGGAGTAGTAAAAAGGTCTTTAAAAAACTGGGGCACAAGTATTTTTGGGCCAGTGTAAGTCAAGGAGCACCACATCTGACCGCTATAAAATATTCAGATGTCTAATTCGGATTCACTTTATTCATGACTTCTTCAAGGTTGATTCATAGTTCATGTGATATTACAATACAGTATGCTTGTAGTTTTAACTTAGCTGGAGGACAGGTATGGAGTAAGAAAGCTTTCAGAAATATTTGTGTGCCTAGGATAGAAATCCATGAATATTTGGGAAGTCCGTGCAGATTTGGCTGTAGCTGAGTGTAAAGTAAATATTCGTAAACTCTCGAATGAGTCCAGTTGTACATAAATGTATTGTGTGTATTTTATCCATCAGAATATGAACTGAAAAGTTACAACAAGAATTACAATCACTAAACGAAAATGTATGCTTACGGTTTCTTCAGTCCGAAAACGAATTCAGAGATGCGACTCAACTGTCAAAAATACGTCATCACTTCACAAGCATTATTTATTTAACAAAAGAAACATTGATCAAGATGCTGGACTTTTATGATGCATATGGACTGAATCAGGACTTAACCAGGACTGATCCCAAAACTCATTCCAGGACTGAACCAGGAGAACTAAATCAAGACTGAACTAGGACTAAAACAGGACTAAACCAGAACTGAACCAGGACTCAGAGCCGGAATGGACCTGGAGATGCACCCGTGTAGACCGTCAGGTGACCACAGACAAAAGGACTGGCTCAGAGCTCCGTTCCCCTCAGGGCCAAGCGCAGCCATCACCCATTCGCACTTTGCGGACACCCTGCTCCACGGACTCGGGGTTCTAGTTTAGGCCTGGTTTAGTCCTGGTTTAGTTCTGGTTTAGTCCTGGGATCAGTCCTGGGATCAGTCCTCTTGGTTGCAACATACCTGGTGTTGTGTTTGGTTTCATTCACACATGTTTAACACACAAACCCTGCATATTTAGGTTGAGTTCTTCTCTCAAACAGAAAAAGTGTCATGTGCAATACAGGAAGTGCTCCATTGTGTTTTTAAAGTCTATACACCTTCACTAGAATCATTTGGATAATTTCAGTCCTGGAATTTCCCATCTCTAATAACCAAAAATTAAACTACTGCTTCACGACATCACAACGTGGGACAGAGCATTTTGAGCTTTGGACATATAAACTGAGAAATAATGCAGGATTACTCAAACATGTGTTAATGAAACAAAACACAACTCCAACTGTTTTTGATGAGTTAACAGCATTCTAACAAGGCTAAAAGCTCATACAAGTCAGTTTTGTGTAATATATAGGACCTTTTAAACAACTTAATTATTGCTTTTAAAAAACCTCAGGCATCTTGGATTGTTTTAGCAAAATTATTACTCATAACCCCTGGGTCCAGACATTTTCCTTTTGTTTTGTCTGTAGTTGAACACTTGCTGTATTGGCCTTGTTACTTGTCCCACATGGTCTGCCGTTTCCATGGAGCTTGTTTGTTGTTGCATCATCAGAAAGCGCCAGCACTGAGACTCGCTGTGATTAAGTGCGTGCTATTGATGTCAACCCTTCTTCTCAGACCCATCCTGGAAACTGTCTTTGCAGTGGCATTGATAGTCTTTGGGTTTTTTTTATGTTGTTAACTTCTTCCATTAAATGTCTGGCTATGTGCAAGGCTATGGGGTTAATGGCCGCTCCGTGCTGCCAAGTACTGTCTGCAAGCCAAACTGCTAAATAACAGACCGGGTGAGTAAGGAGTAGCATCAAGTGAACTACAAATGTGTCTAAACTGGAGTCTGGAGGATCATTGACCAGATATGGGGAGATTACAGTCTAATGGAGGTGACCCAGGAGCAAGGACGGGTCAAACGCAGAGGACACCGTGTACCTTACCTAATAAAGAACCCATATTAAAGCTATTTTCTAATCTTTGTTATTAATGTAATACAGGAAGTGCCCCTCTGTATTTTTAAACTCAATACGCTTTCACTGGAATCATTTGGAAAATTTCAGACTTGGCATTTCCAATCTCTACTGAAGAATAGGGCTGGGTATCATTAAGAAGTTACCGATACGATACATACCTCGATACATAGGCCACGATATGATTTGATATGGTTTAAAAAATAAAGCCTAACTCATGTAAACCACTTCTTGTGCAAAGTAAATCACCAAAACAGTAAAAATGTCAAATGTGTTGCATAAAAAAAAGTTTCCTTCCTCTGAATGAACAACAAAACTGTAGCACTGTAACAAATAATGTTGTAAAATATACCAAAAAATACTCTTGGTGATATATTGATACAGCAGTGCACAGTATCGATACTGCATCATCACATTAAAAGATACGATAGATCGATATTTAGATATTTTTGCACATTCCTATTGAAGAAAAGACAAAAGGTGGTTGGCAGTGTTGGGAAGGTTACTTTTAAAATGTATTCCCCTACAGATTACAGATTACATACCCCAAAATGTAGTTTGTAACGTAATCCATTAAATTACTTAAAGTGAGTAACGTAATCAGAATACTACTTGATTTGCTGTAGAGAAGCAAAGACTAGGATATCTTCACATGAGATGTTTTGTCTGCTAAAAAACAATGGTCCGCGCAGCATGGTTTAGTCCTGTTAAATCCGGTTTTAGACCTGGTTTGGACCTGGTTTAGTCCTAGTTTAGACCAAGTTTAGACCTGGTTTTAGACCTGGTTTGGACCTGGTTTAGTCCTAGTTTAGGCCAAGTTTAGACCTGGTTTTAGACCTGGTTTCGACCTGGTTTTAGTCCTGGTTTCGACCTGGTTTAGTGTCCGGCAATGAGTGGAATTACCAAAAAAAAAAAGAAAAAACAAAAGGGAATTGCCCAAAATGTGAAAACAGGGAAATACCGCCGTGTAATCCATTTATTTCAACCAAGTAACTGTAATCCAATTACCACTTGCTGAATACAGTTACTCATAATTTGTACTCTGATTACATAAGTCCGGTACATGTAATCTGTTACTCCCCAACACTGGTGGTTGGTAACTTGAAAACTACAGCTTCATGACATCACAAGGTGGAACAGAGCATTCTGAGCTTTGGCAATATAGACAAACTCAATTATGTGAATGAAACAAAACACAATTTAGGG